CCATTTACAAAATAATGATGTACATAAGAATACATATACACAAACACATACACACACTTATATATATATATATATATATATATTCATGTATATAAATAATCATATACATACGTAACACACATACACACACATATATATACATACAGATATACGTACATACATACATACAAATAATATAGATATATATATATATAGATATACGTACACACACAGACATACATACACACACACATATATAAATACATACATACATATATATATATACATTATACAAACATAGATACACAGATAGATGTATAGATAGATAGATACATAGACACACAGACACACATAGAAAGATACATACTTACAGTTATACGTATATATTATTTATCGGAACTTAATCAACATAAATTATCGTTTCGCTGTGACGAGCCTATTGCTTAGAAACTGCGATACATTCCTTTTCCGGTACCATTTTTTTCTGTTCCTTTCGTGCTTCTATTGTGGTTGTTAGGATCAACGTCTACCGTTCAGAGGTGAGTAGAACTGGAACAGATGAGTAGAAATATATCAGCGCTCAGACATTCACGTGCGTGATACAGTCCATCACGTCCGAGAGACTGACGGGCGGTAGTGCACAAGCATGGTAACAAAACCCTTTGCCTCGAAATATTGCATCAAGCTACATGAGCTCTACATATACGGTATTGCTTGCTCTGTCGATAGCAAGAGTCATTTCTTGGAATCGAATTGAATTCCATTCCGACCTGGACATAATTGGTAGGAGTGTTACAATTAATCCAGCAGTCCATATCCAACATCACTCGCACTTCAATGTGCAAGCTTCGTGACCTTCTAGCGCTTTGTGAGTTTACCGCCGGCGCTCTTGACCTAGTTTTTGATGCACCTATCTCACCAAAGACTATACTTGAGAGACCTTTGGATGCAATGAGATTACTTCCCAGGCCCGATTTTGTCGCATGTCTTGACTGTGCAGGACGAAGGGGTGTCCATAGACTTGTGCTCCGTAATTACGCAAATATCACTAAGATTATCCACAACTCGTGCAATAATTGCGGAAAAATCTTAGTGCATAAGCAATTTACGCGGAGCGATCGAGCGGTGCAGATGATTGGTTAAGGCGGCAAGTAGTGCGAAGACCGCATCGTGAATAGACGCGACGTCTCGGATACACTCATGCTGCACTCGAGCTGTATAGGCACATCGCCATATTGCGCTATATATGGCCTATGAATGAGAACTCAACTCCACAGTCAGCGTTTCAGCATTGGTCGGCTGTGGACTGTTGCGCACCCAATTCGTAGAACCGGACAGCGTTCTGGACCTGGCCATTGTTGCGGGTGGAGCGTAGCCACCTGTGACCAAAATAGCATCCAATGAACTGCCGGCACTGACGGTATCGTCTAGTGGTATGCACGGGGTCTGCGGCAAATGATCCTCGAACAGTTCGGTACTAGAGTTATCGAAGCTGTCATCCCGATCGTCTTTGTCCGTCTGTAGAAAACCAGGTTTTACGTAGCACACTTAGATATCAAGCCAATGAAGATAATGCTCGCGCAGGGTTCTTGACACCATAAGGTTAGGTCCGTGTGAACTATGTATACAAATTATACATAGCTTGCACAGCTGGTGCTTCGGTGGTATCAGTATTGTCACCACATATCCTTCGCGAATGCCAAGATGTGTCTACTGACAAAGGTGCTCAAGCGAGTTAACTATTTAAGAACGTCTGCAGAGGAGTTCGCGCTGGTATTGTACGTATGCTGTCACGGAACAGAGTAGTCAACGACGTCACGATTCCATATTTGTACCTACATACGGAAGTGCTCTCCAAGAACGACCTTCCGCTGAAGTGAACTGAACTGAACCCAATTTTTGGTACTGGTGCGGTATTTAAAAAAGGTCCTGGTGCTCAACTGCAGTAGATTAAAATGATGTTCCAACGATCACCACGCAATGCAATTGTAAAATCGTGATTTGAATACCAATTTTCCTCCACATCACACTCGAAAACTGTGGGCGTAACGCAAATACTCTTATACATCCAGCCAACAAGCACGTTAAATCTATTGCCAAGTCCTTTTGTCGCTGACAACCCCCCCGTTCAGAACGACCCGAATTATTCGATCACGTTTAAGCGATACGAACAAACCACGTTAAACTCAATGACTAGCTCCGGTGAGGAATTCCAGTCTCTATCAATATATGACAGAGGAATTCATAAGGTTCTCACACACCTGTGACTGAAGCAAAAGCACCTAGGACACCGCAACTAAACACGCTGTATGCTTATATCGAGACCAAGCAACACCACAAACAGCCCATAGAGGTATTCAAGCACTCACTATCACGGACGCATACTTACTCTATACTCGCACGAGATCCACCCTCGCGCACGGCCAAACCGCAATCAGTCCGAATGCTTGAGAGGAGACCCAATACTAAGAAAGGTGAGGTCACATACCAGCGCGAGCGACTCGTAACCACTGTCCTCGGCGGTCATGGGCAGGCGGTGCATTTCTTTGACGCGTACCCTTTGGAATACGAAGACAGAGATGCATATCACAGCGAATCCGAACCAGCTGATGGGTTGCAACCTGGTGTACAGATGAAGTTGTTTGTGTGTATGTATGTAGGTGTGTATGCGTTTATGTATGTATGTATGTATGGTAT